TGTAATATAGTACACTCTAGCATTCATAATTTGTCCATAAATATAATGCATTCTAGATGACAAAAAACAATTTTACATTAAATAATTTCCATTTATCAACCAATCAACATTAATCATGTTGATAATAAAGTTTGATTATAAAATAAAATAAGGATATATACGTCTTTTATATTCTCTCTTAATTTGTTTTAAAATTCTTAGAATACATTGTATCACATGACTGATGGAGTATACTAGAAAAAACCCGCGGCGTTGCCGCGGCACAGGGCATATGGACCAGTTCATTTAGATGTAGCACAAATATGTAGTTGAGAACTGAACAAAGAAAAAAATGTTTATGATCTGAAATTCTGAATCTTCCGAAGAGCACCGGCAGCATGATGAATACTAAAAAAATGTCGTGCTGTGCTTGGCTTCGCCCAGGCGATGCCGATACGTGGGCATGCTGGGGAAGGGGTGTATTTATCAAGTATTTCGGGTTTTATTTCCAAGGGGAAAAGAGAGTATATGACATAGCCATAGTGTCATGGTGACATCATCAAGCTAGCAGCACAGCAGAGCAGAGCACGCGGCGGTCGCGGCACAGACGCGATCGACCAGCTCTCGGCCGGGCGACGGGCGGCGTGCAGGAAGGCGGCGCAGGAGGTGCACACGCGCCTGGCCGGGCCCGGGACTCGGAGGGCACCGGAGCTGCCGGCGCCGAAGCGTGGCGGCGCTTTGTCGGATTTGGGGCAGACCGGCAGAGCCCAAGCCGTCTCCGTTGTAGCGAGGAGGGAGGCGGCGAAGGGGAGTTGCGGACAGGCTGCGGCACACCGGAGCGAGGGCTGTGCAGACGCGCGCTACCATGTGCTGATGGCCACGGCGGAGCGACGCGGGGGCTGCGCGGGGAGCAGCGGACAAGCTGCGGCACACCCGCACAGCGTCGTGGTCCTTCCTCGTGAGCCTGCGAGCCACCCCGCACCGCCGCCCTCCTCGGACCTCGGACGGACCCCGGCGCAGGGGGGAGGCGGGGTACGAGCGTGGCGGCTGCGGCCGCAGGCAGCGCGCGGAGGCGGCAGCGTTTTGGGCCTCCCGCTGCGCCACCACGTCGGGAGAGAGGGAGAGAGAGGAAGGGGCGCGAGGGCGGCAACGGCGGCGGGGCCAGGCGGCGCGAGGCCGTGGCGAGCTCGGGGCGAGGACGTTGGCTTTGGGACGGAGGAAGGGGCGGTGCCGGAGGAGGAGAGGCTGCGCCGCTGCGGGAGGAGAAAGATCGAGTGTTGATTTTGGTAAAGTTCAAGGGCTTTTTAAAACAAAACCCTGAAGGAGGTCTGGACTGCGGGTTGATTCGACTAAAGTTCGAGGGTTTTTTTGCAAAAAAACCGCGGCTCGCCCGATCTGGGCCGTCCGCGCGCCCGATCCAACGGCCACGAAAAGCCCGTGACGTGGCCACTCTCGCCGGCCAGCTTTTGGACCCAGGATTCATAGTATAAAGATATGAATGAATTGAGTGAATCGTATTTCAGAATTTAACTTGAGAGGTCGATACGTACAGAATAACATCAACGGATCAGGCTCCACAGCGAAGGCCGATTTGGCCACACCGCACCAATGCAAAAATGATTTATGGGCTCCATTCAAATTATTTCTCACTAGCATATATATATATATATATATATACACACACACACACACATATTGTGGTTATATACAAATTACAATGTTACACAACTTAGCAACCAACGACACGTAGATTGTTGAATGAGCACTTGTTGTGGTATTACTTGTCGTAGTGACACTCAGGTTCATGGATGTTTCGTATGTTATTATCCAAAAGAAGTTTTACAAGTGGAAACTAAGTGCTACTACTATAATTTAAGCATGTGGGTTTTCATGCATCAATACTCCCTCGTTCCTCAAATAAATCAATTCCTAGAATCCATGCCAGTCAATTTTTTTTAAGTTTGACTAATTTTATAGAAAAGAATAATAACATCTATGACATGAAATGAGCATATTATGAAAATATATTCTATGATACATCTAATGATACTAGTTTGATATCATAAATCTTGATGTTTTTCTCTATAAATTCGGTCAAAGTTTAAAAAGTTTGACTTATGACAACTCCAGAAATTGATTCTTTCAGGGACGAATTGAGTAGTAAATTTCTGAAGATAGTCGACAGAAGGTTCACATTTGGAAAAATGAGACAAAGAAGTTCTAGACAAAAGCGCTGGCAGGCAGCCTTCAATCAAGAGAGCAACAACATTAACACAAGGTATAACAAATACAGTGCTAATGTTAGGAAGTGCAGACCAAACGGGAGACAATAGATGACACGATGATTTTTCCCCCTAAGGTTTGGTGGCTTGCCAACCATCTACTCCCCAATGAGGCAAGTCCAAGGATGTTACTCCTCCGGCTAGACACCAGGCCCGCAAGTTTGAATCACCTCTCAAGGTGAGCTCTGTCGTGAGCACTAGCCTCTTGAGCTAGACGATCATCTTGGTACTCTTCATACCTCTTTTTTTTTTACTAGAGCTGATCTTCGTCTTCCTCCAGTGGGTACGAGCACAAGAGCACCGAACAAATGCTCTCTCCAAAGCTACCTCACAAGCTTCTTCGATGCTTCAACGGAGCCATTTGCCACCAAGTTGTCTATGAGGTGGCAACCTCCAAGAGTAACAAGCACTCAAGCTTGCTCACAGCCCCTAGTGCCAAGATGCTATCCCTCTCAAGCAAATACACTAGATCACTCCAATCTCACCATGAATTACAACCTCAACTATGCGTATGTGAGTGGAGGGCTAACTTTGGCTCTTATACATGTGGGTGGATTCACAAAGATCTCAACCCTCTCAAATGGCGGGCCAACCCACGTGTATATATATAGCCTCAAGCCTCAAAATAGATCCTGCGGGACTATCGGAAATATCCAGTAGTCATCGAAGAAGTATCACACAAGAAACATTGCTGACATCCATCTGACATCCAATGGTTATATTCAAATGGTATAGCCGTTGGATTGCCCAATGCTCCGATGTCTCCTCTCTCCTCTGGATCACCACCGGATAAATCCAGTTGCCCCAAAAGGCTAAAACCATACTGTTTGGGTAACCCGAGAGTTTCTCTGGGTCTCCTCTGATTTTTGTTGTACTATTGTTTGTGTATAGCCAGCATTGTGACTTAAAAAAATGAGAGACAGTGGCATAGGAAAATAATCGAGTGATGAGGCGAGGGGTCAAGAATCAGCCGGAGACGAGGAGTCCCTCCCAAGAAGGCAAAATTGGCCAGGGGACATCGTTAGAATGTGGCCTGTGCCAAAAACCACTAAAAACATGTCTTAGCCAAAAGACATCAAAATTCATGGGAAATATGCTACCGAACACTCAACTCATTATTATATTAGGAAAATTGGTTGTGTATCATCCAAAGATCGCGATCTCCGTAAAATACCATCGAAAGTTTGGCGCTCCGTAAAATACCACTGAAAGATTGAACCATGAACTGAGAGTAGCATTCTGTTAAAATAAAGTCACGGGAGTGACACAAGCCTCTGTCGCGCCCGTACGCGATGTTGTCGCGGATGCTCGCCGCGAACAGGAACGGCTCATGTGGCACCCCACCACCACGTGCAGCGCCCGCAGGTTGTGCTTGCGCACATCCTTGCCAGATAGGACTATAGGAGTACGCGCTAGGATGTGGGCTCGTAGAACCGCTGCACCAGCGCTAGCAGGTTCCAGCGGCCAGAAGCACGCGTCCTTGTCGAGTTGAAGAAGCGCACGTCTAGCAAAGCAGTTTCTCGTGGCTGGCGCCAGACGCTTTCGCCACCGCCGTCGGACCATGGCCTGCCCGGCGGCTTGGACGAGACCGACGAGGCACCGAGGATGACGCAGCTGCCGAGGGTGGAGCCAAAGTCGGCCTTCCACTTTAGGGAGCACGCCATCGCCGCGCCCATTTCGATGTGTAGGCGCCAGCCTGCCGAGCGGAGCACCTCGGAGCGCGAGTGGTGGATCGGTGGAAGACGTCTGCTCGCGACGGCGCGGCAGCGGTGTCTCGGAGCGCCAGAGACGCCACCGCGGCGGGGGCGAGGATCTCGCCGAAGCGCGGGGATGCCATCGACCAGACGCGTCACGATGTGCATGAACGCGCCGCTCCCGCAGCTAGCGCCTGGTGCGGTGGGGAGCCCGGTACAACGAAGGAGGAGGACGGCGGGTCGTCGAGATGACGCAGTCGACGCGGACGAAGACGGAGTCGACGAGTAGCACGAGCGCGTGGAAGCAGCGTGAGACGAGGGCTCAGCTGCCGAGCGCCTTGGTGTCGCCGATGCGGTTGAGGACGTCCCGCTGCAGGGGCCCTCCTCCTCCTCCTCCATCCCATGCAGGTTACAGGCACACAGATAGGGATCGGGGAGAGGCGTTGGCGCGGGGCAGGACCGGGCGGGGCGAGAGCCAGGACGGCAAGGACATGCGCAAGTACAGGCGCTGCGGCACGTGGTGCCGGTGGTGCCGCAGGAGCCATTCCTGTTTGCGGCGAGCGTCCACGAGAACAACTCGTAAGGGCATGGCGACGTGACGGAGGCTACTTTCAGTTTCGTCACTTCTATCGTTTTATTTTAGCAGAATGTTATTTTTAGTTCACGGTTTAATCTTTTGGTGGTATTTTATAAGGACGCAAACTTTCGATGGTATTTTATGGAGATTATGATCTTTTCATGCTACACAACCAATTTTTCATATTATATTTGGTTTTAGTGGACAACCACGCGAAATGATGGATATGCCCTTGCCTCTTTATTATATCCCTTAATTCAGAACGGATCGGGACTTCGGGAGCCCGTGCATCGGTGCGTGCGGCCGCCCTCAACTCGCTCGCACGAAAAAGCAGCATGAACGGTTGTGCCATCTCCCCCACCGCCGGCGGCGCCCGTAAATGGCTGCGCGACAACGGCGGGACTCGCTTCCCATGACGGCAACAGCGCCCGTTTTCTATTGCAGCGAACAGAGTGGCGGCGGCGCCCAATGTCGAAGGTAGCGACAGTGATGGAGTCTCCACGATTCTTGAGCGACATTTTCCCCGAGCATGCTGCCGACGGGTAACTAATTTCTACCATTATCCGTACCCTAGGGTTCATTCAGATTATCTCCTACCCTAGCCTTAATTGAAATCATATGGCGTGTTCATTCAAATTATATTTCTGCTCATATTTATATATGTAGGATGGATCCCAATTTGTCCTACTAGTTTGCTGCACATGTAGGTGCTTTTGTTAAATTGACTGAAGATGACAAGCGCGAGTATTGTGATGCTTGTAACATTGCTAAGATTTTAGACAGGGGTACCACAAATTGGAATGAGTTGCTACTTGACATTGGCACAGAAATTAAGCTAGACTCTAAACATTAGTTATGTGTCACCTATTGGGATAATATGAGTCGTAGCTATGAAGAAATTGATTCGATAACAATCTGTTGCATGCAATTGACATGTATTGGGATATAAGAAGGCTCTCGGTGCAAGTGCGGGTTATGATAAAGTGAAAGGACCTAGGATGCCGCCTAGAGAGGGGTGAATAGACGTTTCTAAAATTAACACCTTTAAATGCGGAAACGATTAGTAAAGGGAGTTTCCAAATGGAAACTCTAAATAAGAGTAATACCACCCCTCACAAGTTAGCCACAGAGTATGTAAAACATACTAAATAAATCTAGAGCCACAACCATGCAACACAATGATTAGTGCAAAGTGAATAGATAAAAATAGAGCATAATAATACGGACACGTCCGGTTTGATCAACACTTCCAATAATATTGGACACGTCCGTAGTTATACCAACCCCTAACTTCCTTCTTTTGATTCCAAACTTCAATCCAACTTTGTAGGCACCCACTAAAGATAGTGCCACACACAACTCTGCACAAGAGCTAGAGCAACACAAATATCAAATGAAATGCAAATTAAGACACGATATTTGTTTTACTGAAGTTCGGACTCGTTCGACTCCTACTCTCCGTTGAGGGGGCTGCGGGCAACCCATCGAAGGTCAGCCCTAGAGGGTACCACGAAGGTCACTCTAACCAGAGTCTTTTCCAACTCCTTTTCCTCCTTCCACTAGTTGATTCCGAGGCGGTGGAATCGACCGTTACAAACTTTCCGAGGCACACCACAATCTCTCGGGTGCTCTCCGGCGACGCCTAGCCGTCTAGGACCGAAGAGTCCAAGAGTAACATGCAAATCATGAAATAGACAATATGCACAAGTGCTCAAGTGGTGGCTTGCTCTCAATTTTGAATTCTCTCTCAACCCACAAATAGATTTGGCAATTTGGATCACACACTCACTAAGAGAGGGTTTGAGAGAGTTTGCAAGGCTCAAAAACGTGTATTGCAACCAGCAGAATCAGCAGCCTCCAAAGGTGGAGGCTTGGGGGTATTTATAGCCCCTTTGAAAAACTAGTCGTTTTCTAGCCGTTGAAATACCGGACACGTCTGGTATGACTTGCACTGCGCCAACGGTAACTGAGTAAAGTATCGTTGTGAGGCGTCAGAACTCCCGACCCTCAGCTCTTTTGAAAACTAGCCGTTGGGCTATCACTGAGTTAAAGTATGTGAGGTGTCGGAACTTCCGACGCATGCCGGAACTCCCGACCATCGAAACTCCCAACTCACGTTGGAACTTCTGACCCTCAGCTCATTTGAAAACTAGTCGTTGGGCTCTGGCCGTCCATACCAGACACATCCGGTATGAATACTAGATACGTCCGGTATGATCAAGACAGTGAACTTATCCAAGTCAGTTAAGCGCGAGACGTCGGAACTCCCGACGAACTAACCCGAGAACATAAAATTTTTTACCATGACTAGGCACATACCGGACATGTCCGGTATCCTAGACCACCAAAAAACTAGTTAGGTCTTTTGTCTCTCAAACACTCAAAACTCACATGGGTTGGCATGAACACTTATGAATGATTATCTATCAATATGATGCATCCCTCTTAATAGTACGACATACCTATTAAACTCAAGATCAAAGGAAAAACGAATTTATACCGCTTGAGTTGATCTCTTTTGAATTGATGCCGTCTCTTTTAATCTTCATCAAGTAAGGGTGCCAACATGTCAACTTTGATCTTTTTCACTTGAGCCTAGTCATCTTGAGCACGTGACTTGATTCCATTCATCAAATATGAATAACTCCAAATGCATCGAGTCACTTCCAACACTTTATCTAATATAGATTTGATCCTCCACATCAATATGACCATCATAGCTTGATTAGTACATCAACTAAATGCAAGTACTTCCTTCTTCAACCTAGCTAGGTTCTTCGGCCGCCAAGCCGTCGCTTGCCCTTCACACTTGCTTAGTACCTCGAAGCCTTTCCTTGCTATCTTCACCATCTCAAGCCATCAAGTCACATCTTGTGTTGAATTATCCATTCATTTGTATTGTTATCTTTTTCATTTTAATTTAGCAAGCTTCAAATATGAGACCATTCCATATGTAATCCCTCATGTCTCATTAATTATTTTTTACCGTGCTTGCTTTCACATAGTTCATGAAAATCCCACAATAAATAAGCCTTTACATGAATTCCATTTGCATTGTTGTCTTGTGCTTGAACTAGATTGTTTATACAACAACACATCATTTTGGCTTCATTAAGTACCTGTGAGATTACCTATTACCTGTCCACACTTAGCAAATGGGTTAGACCTTTAATCACGTTGTCATTCAATCATCCAAAACCCACTAAAGGGTTAGATGGACGTTCATAAAGGATGATTTTTGTTTGGAGCTTGATATTGGGCAACAACAGAACTTGTGTGTTACAGGGTAGCACTGATGCTCCTGCCAACCAGTTAATTGCGCAGCCTACTCTTGAAATTGCATCATCCCTAGTAGAGCCTTGTGTGTTGGCTTGGAGGATGACTTAGTAGTGGAGGATGCACGGGATGGTGATACTTTTAAGAAGGCTATTAGGCAATATGCAATAAAGGGTGAATATGAAATTGCAGCTATCTATTCTGAGTCAACAAGATACAGAGGCTACTGCAAAGCTGAACTGTGCAAGTGGAGGATACATGCTTCACAGTTGCAGGATTGGATGACCTAGAAGGTATGATTTTGCAACTTGCATTATTGTTTGTATACAATTTTGTACAATTTCAGATTTATACAACTTCAATTTTTTCATTTGGTGTAGATAAAAAAGATACCTCATGTGCATACTTGTCAAAGCACTGGAAAAGTTGAGCATAACTGCATGGAAACCAATCATTGGGTCAAGGATAGGGTTCTTAGTTGGCTTGCAAAGGATCCCACAATTGGAGCTAAAGAACCAAAGAAAAGACTAGAAAAACAGTATCACTTGAAGTTGTCATATTATCTAGTGTGGGATGGTAGGAATATGGCTTTGGAACAACTCAAAGGGAAGTGGGATGATAGCTTTGAGCATGCTTTTAGTTTCAAGGCTGAGGTGAAGAAGACCAATCCAGGGAGTTTGGTTGATATTGAGTATGAGCAAGTGGGAAAGAAGATAAGATTTACAAGAATGTTTGTTGCCCTGAAATCCTGTGTAGATGGTTTTCTAAATGGTTGCAGGCCTTTCCTTGGTGTAGACTCTACTCATTTGACTGGGAAATGGAAGGGACAACTTGCATCTGCTACTTCTATTGATGGGCAGAATTGGATGTTTCCCGTGTGCTACGGTGTGTTTGGATCAGAGACAACTGAAAATTGATCTTGTTTTTTAGGAGACTTCATCAAGCAATTGGATCACCTCCAGGCCTAGTGATCTCAACAGATGCAGGCAAAGGAATTGATTATGTTGTTACTCAAGTCTTCAAAAATGGAGTTGAGCATAGGGAGTGCATGAGACACTTAGTTGCAAACTTCCAAAAATGGTTCAGAGGTGAGGCCTTCGAGAAGCACTTGTGGCCAGCATGTAGAGCTTTTCAAAAGCACATGTTTGAAGAGCACTACAATTTGATGTATGAAGCATGTCCTGAAGCTATGAAGTGGATACATGAAAACCATAAGCACCTATGGACAAGGCACCTATTTTCTGAAGCAAGCAAGTGTGACTATGTAACAAATAACATAGCTGAAACATTCAACAACTGGATTAGGGATGAGAAATCACTGCCTCTGGTTGATCTTATGGATAGGATAAAGGCAATTATGTATGGACAAAATGTTCTTGAGAAGAAAAATTGCCAAAAAGCTTAAAGATAAGATTTTGCCTAACGTCATGAAGGACCTCAATGCTGGAACTTGAAGACACCGTAGAGCCTGTTGGATGTCCAATCACATCTCCATTTAGTGTTGAAAAGGGAAAGGCAAAGAACCTGCAAGTTGTTAGGTCTAAAAAAGCATAGGCTATGCACTGTATTAGTTGGTTGAAACCTGTTATTCAGCCTATATTTTGTTGTACTTGAAAGGCTGAAATGTTGCTAGAATATGTTATTTTGTGGGCTGGACCTGCTACATTCTTTTGAACCTGTCATGCTCACGGATCTGCTAAAATAGTGCTGTAGTGTGCATGTTATGGTGATAAAATATGACATGTTATGTTGCTGGAACCTTCAATTAAAGGCAGGGGTATTTCTGTCCAGATATTATGTTTACTTACATGTTTGAATCAGAAATTATATTATAAGAGTTATAGTGTACAATACCAAATCACCGTACTTTTATAATGGTTCGTGGCAAAGCCATTCTTTTTCGGTGGTCAGTGGCAAAAGCCACGTTTTTTCAACGTCCCCTGGCAAATTTTGCCCCCCAAAAATTACCTCTTATTTCGAAAAAAAAAATCCACGAAAAGCAAGTGTGAGCACGTGCCCAATGTTCGATCTCGATCCTGATCCCGTCCCCGTGCGGCCGTGCTCGTTCCGTTGCGGCCGAAGAGGGCCAGCCAAATCGAGAAAGCCACTCCGGCACCGCCGTCTCCCGCCGGCTCGTCCAGGTCTAGCCTCCTCTCATCTCCGAGCCGTGCCGGTGCCGCCGTCTCCCTCCGCCTCGCCGGTTTCTCTACGGTCGGCTCGCACTTCCTGTGCCTGTCCGATCCCCTCTGCAGCGCCGTTCGACGCTGCTGCCTGGCACCGTCTGTCAAGCGCCGCTGTCTGCCTCGTTCCCATATACAAATGCCGTCGCCTTACTCTGAGCAGGTACCGTAGGACCAAGTCGGTCGCCGAGTAAGAGCCTCCTGAGTCCGTGAGCTGGTTCTGTAATTTTAGCTATCGTCGATCGTCGTACAGGTTCTGATTTGCCGCCAAATGCTTGTAGGGGTACAGAAAAGAGAGAAGATGTCGAAGAAGAAGAACTGCTACAAGGAGAATGGTGCGGTGGAAGTAGTACTCCACAGTACCTTTGCTTTTTTTTCAATTTGTTTCAGCGGATTTCTTAGTGCCCGATTGGGAATGGGAAAATTGAGTAAAGCTGGAAGAAGGGACCTAGTTTGGTCTTGTCCAATAATCCACTCACTTGTAGTTTTCAAAAAAAAAAAAATCACTCACTTGTAGTTCATGGAGCCGACTTTTGAATCAGACTCGAAAGGGGACAACTTGTTCATGTTGCATATTTATGATACATATTTATGCACAGTATTTATTTAGTACTTTCTTCGTCCTAAATTATAAGACGTTTGACTTTTTTTTGACCCCAAATTACCACTCGTCTTATTTAAAAAATTATGTAAACATAGTCAAATTTAAGTTATTCTTGAAGGACTTTTATTAATAAAGCCAGCCACGACAACAAAGTGATATTTTGCATAAATTTTTGAATAAGACGAGTGGTCAAATTTGATGCCAAAAATCAAACGTCTTATAATTTGGGATGGAGAAAGTAGAAAACACTGGCAGCTACAAAACACACCAAACCAAGGTACTGGTACGGAAAGGCTGACAAGCGTATATACACTGTATACGTCGCAAGCATTTGGCAAACGAACAAACACGCAAGCGATTAGAGAAATTATTTTTGCACAGAAAATCCCATTACTTTTATTTAAATTAGGTTCAAAAGCTACATTGTTCTATTAATAACTAGTGTCTTTTTTTCATCGTTTTTTTCCTACACTAATCTTGCTCTAATTTGTTATTAGAAAGTTAATAATTAAATATTTAGTTCTAAAGGCCTCACGTAACACTAGGGGTGTTACGTTTATGTATAATTTTGTAACATGCAAGAGAGGAAAAATGCGGGAATGATTTTTTCTCTAGAAAAAGAAAATTGTGTTGATAAGTTATGTTTCGCAAAATATTATATATAAAAGTTATGTGCATAACTTTGCAACTTTCTAAGAAAATACGGTGATAAATTTTGCAGAAAAAATTATAAAAATTATGAGTATAACTTTGTAACTTTTCAGAAAAGAAAAGTTGCGGAAATATTTTTTTTCCAAAAAAAGGACAGTTACTAGGTTAAAAGAAAAGAAAATGGGCACACTCACACACGCACGCCTCAGCACACCCACACACGCAGGGCGGATTGATGCCTCCCAGTCAACTGCCGCGCTGCTCCCTGCACCCTGCTTTGCATGCAGCTGGAGTAGTTTGACCGAGAGAGCGAAGAGGCAGAGAGGAGAGGGTGAGCGATCTGCCAACCTGAACATGAGAGATGCTGAGAGAGTGCACCGGGCAGTTTTTCAAGAACTGTTTCAATGCACACACACAAAAAAAAAACCACTACTGCACAAACTTTACTGGAGGCGAACGTTTTCGGTTTTCCGCGGCGGGCAAAGCCGTCCGCCGCGGCCTAGAGGCCACGGTAAATCGTGGCTTAATCACAAGGGCGGCGGCCTTGCCCGCCATGTTAACGATTTATCACAGGCGGCGCGGTGTAACGTGTCCGCCGCGGTAAATATACTTTTACCACGGCGGGCGCGTTAGAATGCCCGCTGCGGTTAATCATTTTAAAAAAACAAAAAAAAACCAGGAGCCCGCCGGCGAGCCCATTCTCGAGCCCACTGGCGAGCCCACCGGCGACGGATCCGGGCTTCCCACGGCTGTAGATCCGTGCCGCTCGGGGAGGGAGAAGAGGAGCAGCCGGCCGGGCCCCAGCGTCTCTGGAGAAGCCGGCTGGACACGCCGACGCCACTGCAGGGCCGCCACCACCTCGCCAGTCGCTCGCAGGGGACCACGCCGACGCCTCCTCGTGGATCCCCGTGCCTCCTTGCGGATCCCGCCACGCCGTGGTGGAGGGAGGCCAACGCGTCCTCGCCCGCGGTGCTGGAGGTCCCAGCGTCGTGGCCATGGTGGATCCCGGCGTCGTGGCCGTGGTGGAGATCCCGCCGTGGTGGAGGGAGGCCGCCGCGCCGATGCGTCCTCGCCCGCCGTGGTGGAGGTCCCGGCGTCATGGCCGTGGTGGATCCCGGCGTCGTGGCCGTGGTGGAGATCCCGCCGTGGTGGAGGGAGGCCGCCGCGCCGAACCGTCCTCGCCCGCCGGATCCGGCCACCGCGCGCCGCCACCGACCGGATCCGCCTCGGGACGCCGTCACCGGCCGGATCCAGTCACCGCGCGCCGCCACCGGCCAGATCCGCCTCAGGACGGGCTCGTCGTTGCCGTCCCACGAGCCACCACGCTCAACGACGTCTAGGTTTCTAATCATCCTACGTGACAACGTGCGCGAAATGTTCACCAATTTTTACCATAGCCTCCACATGTGATGTAAAGACGCGTCACCAAGTTTCATGATTTTCGAACTTCGTTTGCATTTTATATAATTAAAAAACACTTCACCCGCAATTTTGTCGCCATGTTTCGTGCGTGAGATGTTTGAAACTTCGGGCGTGCTCCTGGAAACGGCCTCAAAATACAATAAGTAACGCGAATATCATTTTTCCACTCGTCGAATTCCATTATTCGATGCACCTGCAATTCAAACTTACATTTCCCGAAAAAATGCAATTAAATGAAATAAATTAAGGATATATAGCAAAAAGACCGAGAAATGTGCCAAATTTGAGGATGTACTTCAACTTAATGTGTAAGGGCTGAAGAAAAAGTTTGGAGGCAAAAACAAAAAAAAATTATGCTTTGCCGAGTGCCCAACTCTGGCACTCGGCAAAGACTCTTTGCCGAGTGCCTAACGGGGGGCACTCGGCAAAGGTGACGGCAAGTACCCCCGTCAGCTCTTTGCCGAGGGCCGTCCTTTGCCGAGTGCCCGGCACTCGGCCAAGAGGCTCTTTGCCGAGCGCCGGTCTTAGCCGAGTGCCGGGCACTCGGCAAAGGGAGCTTTGCCGAGTGCCGGTCTTCGTCGAGTGCCTGACACTCGGCAAAGAGCTCTTTACCGAGTGCCCGACATTTAGCACTCGGCAAAGCCGGCGACACTCAGCAAAGCCAGGCTCTCCCGTAGTGGTGTTAGAGGCCTGCTGTACTTCTGTCCTCAGTTCATCGATGCAAAGACACATTTAACCCCTGTCCAAATGAACAGGTCTAGTGATAGAAGATACAATGTATGTTTTCCTCTATGCAAAGACACTTTTATACTATATATATAGTAGCACATACACACACACACACATATATATATATATATATATATATATATATATATATATATATATATATATATATATGTGATATGATGTATGTTTTCCTTTAGGGCCGTTTGGCCGGCCTCTGCTCCTCGTGCTCCTCTTTCTATCAGAGCCGGAGCACCAAAGCCTCATTTCGTGGCTCCGCATGTCGTCCCATAAAACGGCTCCTCTTCACTTGTTTTAGGCTAGAAGGGCTCCTCCTCTCAGCAACGTTTGGTGCGGCTCCGCTGCCGGAGTCGTGCGGGAGCTGCACCAAACAGGCCCTTACTATAATAAGCTCTAGTAACATATACCCAATCCATATTTAAGCGTATAACACCATGTGATGTAAGTGCTTCTACTACTGCAACTTGTAGACCCCAAGAAACGGCGACATGACAGAGCCAATCCAGAGGCTGCCATTCCTCTCCTCCACTTCACTCACCGACCTGAACGTCTTCTGAAGATCCCCATGAACACTGACCATCTCCATCACCTTCCCGTCCTCCTCGCTCAACCTCACCGCGATCACCTGCCGCCCGAGCCGGTTGAGCAGCCACGACGCGCGCTGGACATGGCGCGTCGGCAGCGACAGCACGAGCCGCCCCAGCCACGGGTAGGAGATGCACCACTCGGCAAGCTTGCCCCTCTTGGCGTGGAGCCCCACCCAGAAGCCTCCCCGGGGGCTCATCCTGATGTTGTCCGGGAACCACGGCAGCCGCGCCACCTCTTCGATCGCCGGCGCCTTCGCCGCCGGCCGGAGCCAGTACCGGAGGATCCTCCCCGTCGTGGTCTCCGCCAGGAGCAGATGCGTGCCGTCCCTGCTCATCGCGAGGCCGTTGGGGAACGCCAGCCCGTCGACCAGCACCTCCACCTCGCCGCCGCTCTTCGGGTCGTACCGCAGCAGCCTCCCCGTGGTGTCGCCGGAGATGACGATGCGCAGGAACTCCCGTCTCTGGGACCTCGTGCTCGTCTCGGTGAAGTAGACGGCGCCCGTGTCCGGGTCTACCTCGACGCCGTTGGCGAAGCTGAAGGTGCGGCCGGTGCCCCGCCACCACTGCGGCGCCACCGGCCTCGACACCTTGTCGTCGTTATCCGGCGAGACGACGCGGAGGCCGTGGTAGGCGTCGGCCACGTAGAGCTCCCCGGTGTGGTGGTTCAACTTGAGGCCCAGTGGGCGCCCGCACTCGTGCTCACGGCCCGGGTCCTGGGAGCCTCTGCAGCTGTCCAGCCTGCATGCAGGCACGGCACATATATTTTGAATATGAAATTATTAATAATTAGGTCACAACACAAGTTTGGCCTTTTGAGAACAAAGTGTGTTCCGTATTTTCCGAGCAACAGAAAAGAAAATTGCACTACATGAGCCAAAAGTGTGTTTTCTGTGAATAATTCGAGCGATGGATTATGGAAAAGTAAAATTTAATTGCACCATAAAAGAAAAGCCAATTCTATGACGTGTCTCGGTAACTTTGACACTTTCTTAACAGAGGTACGGTACCCCATGAGCTCTACAGTCATTTTCAGCATGGAACGTTGGCCCATCTTGAGCTACTTTTCAACTATAGAACAATGTTTTTCTCTCACAATATTTTAGCATAAGCATCAGCGTAAGCTAAATTTCAGCATAAGCGAACAGGGCAAACTTTGGGTAGATGACACGATCATCAGTTGAGTGGTTTATTATGCGTCAATTAATTCGACGGCCCAGCGCCATGGAGTGCAACACAGAGCTGCCATGATGGACGGAGACAACAGCCATCCTAGTAAGGCTCCTAATACTAATAGTGAGTAGCGAGGGCACTACAAATGGTGTCAAATCGCGTCATTTACACCCAAAGACCTGTGGATTGGTTCCTATCAGTTTCACCATTACTTGGACGATGGCGGGGGGCAACCGTCAGCTACTCAGCTCTGAAGTCTGAACTGCACACAGCAGCGCAGAAAGCTAGCATGCAGTACCACGCACGCACGCACGGACGTGGACCAGGTAGCTAGCACAAGTATGCATGGTGCGACGGAGGAAGGAACGAACGGTGAGTGTGGCCATGGGGACAGGACAGGACGGCGACGAGGATCGAAACTTACAGGTCTGGCGCGGAGGAGGAGTGCTCAGCCCACCGCCGCTCGGCGGCCACCCACCTGAGGACCCGGCCGTCCGACACGCCCGTGAACGGGCCGCCGTCGCCGTCGCCGCCGTCCCCGTCCACGTCCCCGGCGAACACGAGGCTCTCGGGCCCCACGGCGCCGTCCAGCAGCGGCAGCAGCTCGGCGTCGCCGTTGCCGATCTCCAGCATCCTGACGTCGCTGCGCGAGTCCAGCGACGACAGCATGAGCGCCGCCGCCGCCAGCAGCGCGGCCAGCGCCACCTCCCCGCGGGCGCGCATCATATCGCCGAGAGGAAGACGAAGAGGAGGGGCCAGGAGGGAGCAGCGGAGTAAAGCTCGCTCGCACGCACTGTGCGGCGCAGGCCGGACTGGATGCTTCTAGATTCTAGTTCTAGGTGAGCAGCAGATGGAGCTACAAGTGCGGCAGTCCTCCAACGTGTGCCGCGCGGTGCCGGCCTGGGAGTGGAAGGTGGAAGGTTTAGTATATAACGGCGGAGGAAGGATGGGCATGGGCCGGCGTCGTGGTGGATTTGTGTCGTTATGAGAGATCCACGCAGTACAGTGCGGGCGGGCGTGCAAATGCGCGTGGCTGCCTGCTGCCCTGTCCACGAATCACCGGGCTCTGGCTGCGGAGGGAGCGAGGGAACGGCCGGGTGTCCCGTCCGACGGCCCCGTACATGTTCTGTTGCTGTCTCGCCGTTGCAACCGCCAGTCTCCGCTGCTGGACTGCTACCCTTGGCTACGCCACTTGAATGCCCTGCCTACCTCCTACCATGCGTGTCTCCCAGCATCCCTCCTCCACGTTTTAGCCGCGGTCCAAGGCCGGCCGGCCGGCCGGCCGGCGGCGTGGACTTCACGAGCGCACATACGCCGTACTGCCGTAGCCCTGTATAGGCACGGACTTAGGTGAATCTGAATGTCCAGAGTCCGGACCAACTGTCACTGAGCACCGTCCGTCCTGGTAGCAGGTAGCTGTTGACGACGCAAGACCACGGGCCGTTCCAAAATCTGGCCTCCTCTCCGGCTCCGATGTGCATGCGATGCGTACTGGTACGATCGGTGCCTGCCGCAGATGGTACGACTGGTAGATAGACGTTGCACCCACCCGGACCCTGACTCATACAGTGCCATCAATCCAAAGCCAGAACTCTATTGTACCTCGCTGCAACGGAGCGCACACGAGTCCGCCCAAGAGGGAGCTGAGAGCAGATCGCAAGGAAGAAGAGAACCGGATTGCAATGCACGCATGCCGGGTACACGAAAGAAAGAACGAAACCATTCATCAGAGACCAGAAGATGGGGAGACGTGTACGTACAGTTCCGGCGCGCAGGAGGACGAGTGCTCTTCCCACCACCGCTCGCCGGGGACCCACCGGAGGATGCGCCCATCCGACACACCCACGTACGGGCCGCCGCCGTCGCCGTCGAACGCCAGGCTCTCAGGCCCCGCGGCGCCGGCGTCCATGGGGACCAGCTCCAAGCGGCCGTCCCCGCCGCCACCTATCTCCAGCAGCGCGACGTCGTGCCGGGAGGCGTCCGGGGAGGACATGAGCGTGGCCGCCGCGACGACGGCGGCGTCCAAGAGCACGGCGAGCACGGTCATCTTATTCATCGGTTGGGCGTGGACCGACCACCGATCGTTGCTCCGATCAGTCCAGCGGCAGATGCGAATGCGAAGCCGATGCTGTGCTTCACGTATGGTCGCGTGGCGTGGCGTCCACAGAAACTCGATGAGGGTTCAGAGGTTTTATGGGAGAGGGATGTTAAACTAAAGGATCACTAGGAGTGTAGATGTAGCCGGGTACTTCATATAAATGGGTAGCATAACCTAGTACATGTTCTAGACGGAGATTAGAGGGAGGAGTGGAGGAACGTGTCGAACCTGACACCGCAGAGGAGAATCCTCTCGCGTCCGCCATGGAGTCGGTGTCTGCGCTAGGGCAGCGAGGGTCGGGGAAGAGTATGGTGATGAGCAGTGGCGACTGGCGGTGAAGACCGGTGGCGACGCAGTGAAGTCCGGCGTCGTGGCAGCCCTTCGGTGTAGATGCAGAGGCGGCGCGGCTGGTGGCTTCCCGTCACTAGCTGCGACCCTTTAGATCGGATTAGGGTTTAGGGATTTCGGTGGGGAGCTCGGCTCAGGTGAACCTCGTGACTTGAGCCACCGGCCCCCACCTCTATATATTGCGCAGTGTGACAGGGGCCCTCCAGGCATAGTGGGCTGGGCGCCCCTGATCAGGGTGCGGATCAAAGGCCCAACTGGGCCGTTGGGCCCAGTTTGGGATTGAGATCAATCTAACAATCTTCCCCTTGATCTCCTACCATCTTTTAATTTCATATCATTTATTTTTGTTCATTCCATTACAGATTAGCGCGTAGAGCATGTTTCATCGTCACAGTCAATTGTCGATAGATTTAACAGCTACAACACATCACTCTGTTCTAAAACAGATACTTAACTTTGGGCCTTCTTTTGTTCAGGAACTATAGGCTTTTCCTTAAACCCATACCGGCTACATGTTCTCTGAACACGTTGGGTGGTAAGTCTTTTGTAAGTGGATCCGCGAGCATCTTTTCGGTACTTACATACTCAAGACTTATGACATGATCCCGGACTTTATCTTTCACAACATAATACTTTATGTCAATGTGTTTGGCAGCACCACTTGACTTATTGTTTTGAGCATACTATACTGCCGGATTATTATTGCAGTATAACTTAAGTGGTCTATAGATGTCGTCAACCACCTTCAAACAGGATATGAACTCTTTAGCCAGTTCACCTGCCCCGTTGCCTCATAACACGCTACAAACTTGACATATATTGTGGACGATGTAGTGACGGTTTGCTTTAAGCTTTTTCATAAAATAGCTCCCCCTGCGAGAGTGAATACATATCCAGATATTGATTTTCTATCATCTCCCCCATAATCAGAATCTGAATATCCCACTATATGGAGTGAATCAGATCTTCTATATGTCATCATGAGGCCTTTCGTTCCTTGCAAATAACGCAAGACTTTTTTTACTAATTTCCAGTGTTCTGTTCCAGGATTACTCTGGAATCTACCAAGTAACCCGGTAATAAATGAAAAGTCAGAGCGCGTACATACTTGAGCATATTGCAAGCTTTCGACAGCTGCAGCATATGGAATCGCTTTCATTTGATCGATCTCATATTGGTTCCTGGGGCATTGAAAATCCCCATATCTGTCGCCCTTGACTATAGAAGCATGTGAGGGACTACATTTGTGATTACTGAATTTCTTTAAGATTCTTTCTATGTATGCCTTTTGTAACAGTCCTAATACCCCTTTGCTTCTATCTCGGTGAATCTCGATCCCTAGAACGAACGAGGCTTCACCATGATCTTTCATATCAAATTTTGAGAACCAAAACTTCTTTGTCTCCAGTAGTAGACTGACATCACTACTAGCAAGTAAGATATCATCTACATACATGACGAGGAAGATAAACTTCTCATTCTTAAACTTTGCATAGACACAATTGTCCTCAACATTCTCTTTAAACCAAAAATTCCTTATTGTCTGATCAAACTTCAAGTACCACTGTCTTGAAGCTTGTTTCAATCCATAAATGGATTTCTTTAGACGGCATCACATTCGTTCTTTTCCTTCCATGACAAAACCTTTCGGTTGTGCCATGTAAACATTTTTCTCCAAGTCCCCGTTGAGAAATGTCGTCTTTACATCCATCTGATGCAATTCTAAATCGTAATGTGTCACTAATGCTATTATGATTCTAAAGGAATCCTTACATGAGACTGGAGAAAAGATCTTATTGTAATCAATTCCTTCTCTTTGCGTAAAGCCTTTGCCACAAGTCGCGCTTTATATCTCTCTATATTCCCTTGAGAGTCAAGTTTTGTTTTGTAGACCCATTTACAACCTACTGTTTTGGCTCTTTTAGAAATTATCTCCAAGTCCCAAACTTTATTGGCATTCATTGATTTCATTTCATCTTCCATGGCCTCAAGCCACTTTGATGAATGATCACTTCTCATGGCTTCTTCAAATGAGCTGGGATCATCCTCCATTTGAAATTCCTCAGTGTTGTATACTTCATAGTCAGCAGAAATAGCTGATTTTCTAACTCTTTGAGACATTCTAGGGGCCTCCACATTTGGCACATCTTCTATTTGAGGCTGTTGTTGCTCCCCCTCATGTGTGGTAATAGGTTCTATAGGATCCTGAAGAACAGGTTCCTCATCATCATTCATTATTGCCACAGGCGGAATAACAACAGGTGCTGGCACCACAGTATCTTGCACTGTTGGTGCAGTGACAGCAGGTAGTGAGAAAAATGACTCATGAATCATTAGAGTGGGCGCATACACCCGCTTCTCTTTAAGGTCAATTTCTCGAGCTACCATGCTCCCCCTCATCATTTCATCCTCTAGGAAAACAGTGTGTCTCATTTTCACAAACTTTGTATGTTTGTCTGGACAGTAGAAACGAAAACCTTTTGACTTTTCTGGGTACCCAATGAAATGGCAACTTACTGTTTTGGGATCTAGCTTCCCAATGTTTGGGTTAAATACTTTAGCCTCAGCAGGACTGCCCCACACACGTAAGTGATTTAGTGAGGGTACTCTTCCTGTCCACAACTCATATGATGTTTTGGACACCGACTTACTTGGTACTCTATTGAGAATATGAATGATGGTTTTTAACGCCTCCATCCACAGGCTCAACGGTAAGGTGGAGTAACTTATCATACTACGCACCACATCCATCAGGGTACAATTACGTCTTTCAGCTACTCTATTCTGCTGAGGTTCGCCCGGTATAGAATACTGGGCTACTACGCCATTGTCCTGTAAGAACCTTGCAAAAGGTCAGGAACTTGGCCATATGGGGTATGCCGACCGTAGTACTCCCCCCCACGGTCGGACCTAACTATCTTAATCTTTAAATCGTGTTGGTTTTCAACTTCTGCCTTAAATATCTTAAATTTATCCAATGCTTTTGTTTTTTCTTTAATTGGATAAATGTAGCCATAACGGGAGTAATCATCTATGAATGTTATGAATGAATCATAACCATCCACACTCTTTACAGGAAACGGACCACAGATGTCTGTGTGAATAATCTGTAGAATTAATGAGCTTCGTTTGACATCTTTCTTAATTTTCTCTACATACTTTCCTTTTAATGCATTCTCTGCATTGTTCTAAATCTGAGAGCTCTAATGGAGGAAGAATATCATTCTTAACTAGTCTTTCTATTCTCCCCCTCGGAATATGGCATAAACGACAGTGCCATAATTTCGACAACGTATCGTGAGCTCTCTTTCATTTTCTGTTTACATCCGTAGACAAGGATACATTCTCATTATTACACACAATGTTCCCATCATCGCATACAACATTGACATCATCACGTAGTGATAACAAATAAAGCTCATTTTGTAAGATAGCAAGACCATCACATGCATTATTAAATGTTATCTTACATTTGCCATTTCCAAAATGGCAATCATATCTATCATTGTCCAAGCATAAAACACTAATCAAGTTTCTCTGTAGGGAGGGAACATAAAGTACATCTCTCAGTAAAAGTGTGAAACCATCAGCAAGCTCTAGAGAAAGATCGCCAACGGCTTCAACATCTGCTCGGACCCCATTTGCAACTTTAACGTGTCTTTCGCTTCTTTGTGTAGTCCTCGTCGAACAGAATCCCTGTAAGGAATTAGCAACATGAACAGTTGCACCTGAGTTAATCCACCAAGTAGATTTTGAATACTGTACATACAGGAATTCATTTATGAACATAATAATATTGTCACCTTTCTTTGCCATGATCATCTTTAAGTAATCGGGACAATCTTTCTTATAATGTCCCGTCTTCTTGCAATAGAGACACTAATCTTTCTCTACTGTGAACTTGTTCTGCTGAGGCTGATGCAGCATGGTACCATTTTCCTTTGACTTTGAGGAGAAGTTAGCATTAGTATTCTTTTTCTTATTGTCTTTCAAATAATTGATAGAGCCACCATTGGCAGCTTTCATTCTCTCCTCCTCTTGCACACACATAGCCATGAGCCTCTCCATGTCCCACTTCTCGGGCTGTATGTTGTAGTTGACAACAAAAGTGTCAAACTCTTTTGACAAGGAAGCAAAAATCAGATGTATAAGGAACTCTTCCTTGAGAGCCAGATCCATTAGTTTTAGCTTGGATGCCAAATTGCTCATCCTTAGTATGTGCTCTCTTATGTGTAACGTCCCGCCTCCACGAGGCCAGGCCCGCTTACATCTGATAGCTTTTCTAGGACATAGACTGCCCTCACAGACCAACACCAGTCTTTTCTGCGCACTTTGTCCTCACTCATGCGTCCCCGGGAAGAACTTCCCGGTCGGTCACCCATCGCTCCAGGCCAAGCACGCTTAACCTTAGAGTTCTTAAGAGATGGGTTTCCAGAAAAGAAGTTGCAACTTGTTTGTACGAGTATCCTATTAATCCTATTAAGCCCTGAGCCGGGGTGTTACATTATGCCACCATTACCTGAGTAGCTCTCTATCACCAGCTGCTTTATCAGTTGGGTAGCATATGTCTTTGAAGAGCCAGTGAACTGGCTCTTTATTTTTTCGAGGTA